CCACTGAGACACACTGACCCCCCCACCCTAACCACACAGGGAAGTGCTGAACCCCCCAACCCCAGAGACACTTTGACCCCACCCTAACCCCACAGGGAGGCGCTGATCCCCCATCCTAAATCCACAGAGACACACTGACCCCCACCCTAACCCCACAGGGAAGTGCTGACCCCCACCCTAACCCCTCTAGAGGTGTTGATCCTCTGCCCTAACCACACAGAGAGGCGCTGACCCTTCATTCTTACCTCACAAGAAGGCATAACCTGTTCTCCACTCCAGCCTCACAGAGGCACTGATCCCCACCACTCTAGCTCCCCTAGGGTGATGTAACCCCTGCCCATCCCTTCAGGCCCCCAGGAAGGTGTGACCCCAGTCCCATCTGTGATTCCTGTTGGGTCATAATGCCAGTGTCATTCACTCTGGCTTCTGCGGCTATATTCAGGCTTCCTCATTCCCCCACCACAGCCAGGACAGATGGGAGCAGATGGGGACATGGAGCTGGCCTCCTGGTGTCCCCCACCTCTGGGTGCCCTCAACCCACCTGTGACCCATTGTTGTAGGCACTTCTCTTCCATCCACCATCAGCTGCGTCCAGCAAGACAGCACCAGAGTGGTCAACACTGCCTACTCCGTGCTCCAGAGACCTAGAGAGGGTAAGGCATGGGAGAGAGGGCCTCCCCTCTGCAGAGCAGGTGTCCAGGGTTGGCAGCAGGCATGGGCCTCAGCTGGCCAGGGTGGTGCTGGAGGAGGGGAGCTGGGTGTGGGCAGCCTGGATGACTGTTCCAGCAGGTTGCTGGGGGTATGAGCAGGGCGGGGAAGGTGGGGGGTGAGTGGGGTGGGGGGCTCCGCATGTGCTGCCTGGATGACTTTGCCCTGCAGGTGGGTGGGTGATGCTGTGGGAGAGGGCCAGCCACGTGGACAGTGCACTGGTCATCCCAATAGTCCAAAATCTTCCAGCCACTTTACCCTGGGAGGCCCCAGATTTGTGATGGGGGCATGTGGTGGGCTGGGGCCATCCCATCTTTGCTCTTGCTGCCTCGAGGCCTCATGTCCACTTGCACTATTCTGCTCTCTTCTCCCTTGGGCTCCCTGAACTCCTATTCAGCCTGCAAAGCCTGGAGTCTGTGCCTCCACCTCCAGGAAGTCCCCCTTAGCCCAGCAAACCCTCCAGTGTGGACCCTGACCTCCTAGTCTGTCTCAGTCTCTGTCCCAGTGTGTTTGTAGACATATATCTGCCCTCCTGACTGTGAACAGTTAATTCCCACCACATACTCCCCGATGTGGTGTCTAAGCATCCATAGGAACAACTAGGTGCTGCGTCCAGCCCTTCCCTTTCTCTCTGCTCTCATTCTCTGATCTTCCGAACCAGGAGGTGAGGCTTGACCGACGACACGGCCCCTTGAGGGGCCTGAGGGATTTGAACACAGGGTCCTGAGGCCTGGCCCTGATGCACCACCCGAGACCTTCGTTGGTGGCCTGCACACTGGCCAGTCACTGTGTTTATGCACAAGCTTGATAATGCAGAGCTGGGGCTCAGCCCATACACTGTGTGTGGGTCTGTGGGGGGTGAGCAGCTACAACCTTCCCCAGAGCACTGCTGCCCTGAGGAACCGCTCAGATGAAGCACAGACAGGCCAGAGGCCTCAGTTGCTCTGAACTCTCGGTCTTCAGGAGGGGCTGGAGTGCTGTGGACACCAAGGGCTGGTGCTGGGCATTCAGCCAGCCCCACAGTGGCCTCAGGTCCTGGCTCCTCTCTCCAGCATTCCCTGATGATGCCAGCCCTGGGCCAGTCTACTTCCTGGACCCCAAAGTCACACGCTTTGGTCGAAGCTGCACCCCTGCCTACTCCATGCAGGGCCGGGGCAAGTCTCGGGGTGAGTGTCTTCCTGGACTCCTGTGTTCATCTCCAAGCCCTGAGAATCACTGGGTCTGTAGGGTCAAGTCCAAGGGCACAGAAAAGGGGCATTGAGCTTGAGAGGGTTAATTCAGCTTTGGCTGTTCTCAGTGTCAGGGTGCTAGGGCTCAGAGAGGGTCTTGTCATAGGCTCCGAGCTGCTCCATCCCTAACCCTAACCCTAACCCTAACCCTCCAGCACCGGATTTGGATATCTGGTTCCATTTTCTCGCGTACTCACACTTCCATCTGTCAATTTACAACTCATTTACTTGTCCCCTCATTGATCCATTTAGTAATCCTTTCATCCATTCTTCTTACTCACCTTCCATGAGCCATTGGCCCATTGGCTTATCAATTAATCTTTACCACATCCCTTCATCCTTCCATGCATTTATCCCTCCATCCATCATCTATCGTCCCTCCCTTCCTCCATGCGTGCATGCATCCATCCATCCTTCCCTCCCTCCATCTCCCCATCCCTCCATCCATCCTCCCTCCCTCCCTCCATCATCCATCCTCCTTCCCTCCCTCCATTCCTCCATCCATCCATCCATCCACCCATCCACCAATCAACTCTATCCCTGCACTCAATCCATTCATCCTTCATTCCTCTCTCGGCCACCTATCCACTTGACTAACATTCCATCTACCTACTGAGCCACTGGCCTAGTCTTTAATCTCTCCACCTACTCGTTCACCCGTCCATCATTTATCCATGCATCTGTCCTTTCTCTATTCCTCTTTCCTACCATCCTCATCTCTATGCATGGGCTCAGTTCATCCATCTTTCATGCCTCCACTGTTCCTTCACTCATTGGCTTGGTACATGCATCCCTCGCTCCTTTTTCAGTCACCCACTTATCCACCCATATATCCATTGGCTCAGTTCATTCATCCTTCACTTCTTGGTCAACCAGTCACCCACTCAAACATCCTTTGGTCTATCCATTAATTTTTTCATCTATCTATTCATTTATCTACCCATCCGTTTATCCACCCACCTCATTTTGCTTTTATTCATCAACTGAGAATCTCTCTCCATTCATGGGCTCTGTCTTCTCTCCTCCATCCATCTCCACCCAACCTTCCACTTATCCATCCACCCCTCAACCAACCGTCTTTCTATGGACTCTATCCATTTATCCTCCACTCCTCTCTCACTTCCCCCCCCCCATCCATCTCCTTACAACCATTCAAAACCAACAAGCCTTAAGCAGCCTGTGAAGAGTTGAAGATTAGCCATGTCTGTTTCTGTGAGATTCCAGCCTGGTGGTGGATGTAGACTAAGGTGAGGATCACCACACCTGTCTGTGGTCATGTTTGGAGGTGAATGGACTCAGGTAGGGAGACCTGAGGGGGGCGGGGTTCTGCTGGAGGGAGGGTGTGGGGAAGGGAGTGGAGAGGGAGGAGGGGCTTGGATCTCACCAAGGCTGGGGCCTGAAAGGGAATGGACTCTGTGTCTGGAGGTGGGGAGAGTGGATGTGAGAGAGTCTCAGTGCCCACCTTGTGTCCTCCACAGGCCTAGAAGTGACACCAGGGCCAGGGGCCTACAGCCCAGAGAAAGTGCCCCCCGTGCGCCAGCGGACGCCCCCGGCCTTCACGCTGGGTCCCCGCCTCCGCCCACAGCCCCTGGACACCTCTGTTCCTGCCCCCAATGCCTACGTCCTGCCCTCCCTTTGGGGTATGCAGATCTTCATCAAGCCCAGCAGCCCCAGCTTCACGGTCCTGGGCCGCACGCCCCCCATCCGTCCCCCGCAGGACCCTGCGGAGATGCCAGGCCCTGGCCAGTACAATAGCCCTGACCCTAATGCCTATAGGCTCCGCCAGCCAGCCTTCACCATGCTGGGCCGGCCCCGAGCCCCACGCCTGCCTGATGCCACTCCGGGCCCTGGCACCCACTGCCCTGAGCAGGTGACTGTGCACAAGGCCAGGGCCCCAGCCTTCACCATGGGCATACGCCACTCCAAGCGGGCCACCACTATGGCCACAAATACCATGCCCTAACTGCCAAAGGCGTGGGCCCCTCGGTGAAGCTTTGGCTGGAGGGGCTCAGAGAGGCCCAGGAGGAGCTGGGTGATTCTCCTTCACCTTCTGTGAATTGTCTGTGGTCCTTCTAGGCCACTGTCCTTTCTCAGTCCCTGGGGGCTGTGACCCTGGGGCCCCACATGGAGTGCAGAGCAAGGTTCCTTCTAATGCCCCAGTTTCTGTTCTTGGTCGGTCACACCAGGCCAGGCCAGGCCAGGCGGGGAAAGCGACACCAGTCGTCGCCAGCTGCTGGCGGACACCCACTTCCTCTGTCCACAGGGCCTGTGGCCCTACACAGCTTCGGTTTCTGCCAATCAAGAGCTCTTCTCTCTCCTCAGAGGAGCAGTCTAACCAGGCCAGTCTAGCTGCCTGCCCCCTAGCCCCCACCACAATAAATCCTTAGCAACTGGCAGCTGCTAGCATCCCACCTACACACCCACACACACCACGGGGAGGAGACTGGACCCTGTCCTCCAGTCCAGGGGTCGGGGGTGGTCAGAGAAGGGATCTAGGACTGAGTGGCCAGAGGTGGAGCCTGGGCATTGAGTGAGAAAAGCCAGGTGTGCTTCCTGGAGGAGGGGACATTGTAGCTGTTTTGAGAAATGAGCAGCAATCTGGCTTGTTTTAAGGGCGGCTATCAGTAGGTGCCTCCTGTGGGCCTGGTACTGATGAGGCTCTGGAGCCATAACCACTCAGGAGGCAGGTGATGCTTTGTGAGGAACTGGACAACTGCCCATGAGCTGGGGCCCGACCAGCCACTCACCTGAGCCACAACGTGGGCGCTCGTCCTAGGACTCCATGCTGGTCATTCTCCACTAGAGACAGAAGGACACACAGGCTGGTGACTGTGACAGGGCTGGCTGGACCCCGAGGGTGCCTGGTGGATGTCGCTTGCTTCTCACGCCCCTCACCCAGCGCGGACAGCGACCTCAACATACAATCTGTGCTTAAACACCCGGCCACAGTCGACACACATCCGACCTACTCCCCCTCACAGGGACATGTCACAACTGAGTACAATGTCCATGCGCCACCCATCCTCACACGGTGCGTCCCAAGGAATGCAGGTTGGGCTGGGGGGGGCCGGGTTCTGACAAGGAGAACCCCAGGACTGGGCGCAGACAGGACGGCTTGCGCCGGACAGCCGTCTACCCAGATCCAGTGGTCCAGCCATCCAGAATACCCCTTCACGAGCAAATCACAGTCACAGCAGCGAGCGCTCCCCTCCCTCGTCTCCTCCCGCCCCATTCTCTCTGACCCTGCGGTCCCTACACCTAAGCGCCCTCTCTCCCCGCTCGGCTTCCTCTCCCCTCCCCCACTGCTTTCCCCGTCCCTCCCACTGCCTTTCCCTCCCCCTTCTCGGTCAGTGCCACGCTCTGATCTCATTTCTGATTATCGATCTGCTCTCGCCACCCCTCCACCTGCCCCTCCTTTGTGTCTGGGCAGTCATTCCTGTGAAGGGGCGGAGGGGAGTCAGAAAGGGGGTTCGGAGCTGGGTCCTGGGGTGACAGAGACATCATCTTTTCTAGTGTGAAAAATAAACCCTGGAGGCCGGGGCGGAGGGCTGGGGCCGCAGGTCCTGGGGTAAACTGGGGCTGGTCAAGCTCCCAGGAATGTGGTCTGACCCCCGCCCGCGCCCAAGGTCACGCGCCAGCTCCTTCCCCTCACCGGGCCTCAGTTTCCCCGCTAGGAGATGGCGGGGGCAGGGCAGGGGTGCGCTCGACTGTCGGGCTCTCTCTCCTACGGCCGCGCCCTGGCTCTCCCCTGGCTTCAGTTTTCCACACTGTTCCAGAAGAGAGGCGATTTCTAAACCTTCCCAGCCCTGAGCTTCTAGGAGCCGGGACGGCGGGTGCGAGGCGGCCCAGGGGTCCCGGGTTCGATGTCCCTTCCCTGGCTGCTGGCTGCAGGCCAGAACCCGAGCCTGGGGGGGGGCCTCAGTTTCCCCGAGCGCCGCTGCGCGGAGGGCCGGGGTCCCAGGGGTGCAGCCCCCCGCGGCTGCGCGCTGGGCCGGCGGATGACATCACCGGGCCGGGGGCGGGGAGGGACGGGCTGCGGGCGGGAGCCGGGGGCCTCGTAGGCCAGGCGCAACGCCCGGTCGGGCTGGCTCGGC